TACTGTTATGAAAGGAAAATTTTGCATTTGGACACAATTAGACCTACATGAAATAGACTGTGAATACTGAGCGAAATGATAAACGAAACGGCTAAGTGAACTGACAAAAAATTCAAGTGGAAACATGTATCACATTTTACCTATTGTTAAATTACCATTTTCAGATTGTGTATCCCATAAAGCAATGTAAGATGCATTTGACTTTTTCGTTTATGAGTGGATTGTGGAGACACTATTTTTTGTGCTTTTAGACCAAGTTGTTTTTAGACCAAGACTTGGCTTTTAGACCAAGTGGTTGAGGAATTATGATCATCCATTACCTGTTACTTGTTATTTGTATAGCGCCTTTCTTTTCAGTTACAAAGCGCTAAAGTTCTTTTTCCATGGTCATTGGATCTACATGCTAAGTTTTGCTGCTGGTAATCAGCGCATGAGCAAGTAACCCCACCAGGTCCCCATTTATACTCCTGGGTGTAGAGAAGCAATGGAGAGAAAGTGTCTTGCTCAAGGACACAAGCGAAATACACAGGAGGGATTGAAACCCCGACCTCTAGGTTGGGAAACCAAACCGATCCCACAGCGCCAAACCGCTTCCACAATCAACATGTTATATAACGGTAATTGATCTTTGACCCTGAATATTTGATCAACGCAGCTACTAGAAAGTGAAAAAATGTTTTTATATAAATTGATCCCAAACACTTAGATGTAGCCACTATTTTTGTACATCTAGGCAAACTGGTTTAGGAGTTATTACCATCACAGTTCTATAAAGGTCACTGACCTTTGACCCTGAATATTTGGTCAACGCAGATACTATAAGGTGGCAAAAATGTTTTTAATAAATATTGATCCCAAAAACCTAGTTGTAACCACTATTTATGTGCATCTAGGCAAACTGGTTGAGGATTTATGACGATCATAGTTGTATAAAGGTCATTGACCTTTGACCCTATATAGTTGGTCAATGCTGCTACTATTAGAAGGCGGCAAAAAATTGTTGACCCCAAAAACCCAGGTGTAAATACTATTTTTGTGCTTTTAGAGCAAGTGTTTGAAGAGTTATGACCTAGAATATGTTATATAAAGGTCATTGACCCTTGACCCTGAATATCTGGTCAACGCTACTATAAAAACGCGGCAAAAATCTTTTCATGATTATTTACATATAGGCGTACAAGAATATGCAAAAAGTCCTTTTATTAGAGTTTGTTTAAGGTCAAACCATATTTAGCCTCTACTATAAATATGTTACGAAGTTTTAGCATGATTCCAGGTACAATACCAAATTTATTTACCGATTATTGTGCAGAATATTTTGATAGAATTGAAACGAAACCGACTAACAATACACAATATGATATAAAAAATATAAATGGGGATCCTTTACTCAAGCGTTGCAGCTAGTTCAGTCGGCTAAACTGGTAGCCAGTGTGCGTGCGGTGAATTGTGGAAATCTTTAAATCTATAGTGCTGGAATTAAAGCGTACCTAGGGACGAATTCAAAGGGGTGCCCAGCCAGCCCTCCCCCACCCTATTTTTTAAAATAAAAAAACTGAGAAAAAACAATTCTACTCAAATTTTGAGTCTAAGAGTGCCATTTGCGGTCATGTAGAGTGCCATAATCAATACAATTTCTTACCTCAGCCCCAATCATGGCAGGGCTGAGGTAGTATATACCCTCCATCTGTTAAAGTCTCTCTCTCTCTCCCTCTCGCCCCCCCCCCCCTCTCTCTCTCTCTCTCTCTTTTCTCTCTCTCTCTCTCTCTCTCTCTGCTCCCTCTATTTGAGATTCCTGGATCCGCCACTGGTACCGTTTTTCGGACGAGACGTTAAGCCGTTGGTCCCGTGTGTAATAATGGCTCGTGTTTATATTACAGCACGCAATACACTATTTAGAAAATAAGATATTATTTCCTGGTATACTGCCAAAATCACCACCATTGGGCTTTCGCGTATTCTATTATTAGTGTATGAAAACCATAACATCTCCTAATTAATCAGTGGTAGACTGATACCATTTTATCAGCATTCATGAAATATAGTTTAATTTGATTCAAACATTTTCTTAACTTAATTTTATTCGTGATAGTTCCAGGTGTTTATGCACAATCCGTGACAGTTGATCCTGCTACAGTAAATGTTGGTGAAGACGCTTTGATGACGTACACATTCACACCTGCAGCAGATGAAGGATCCCTGTATGTGACTTGGTACAAAGGTGTTGATAGTAGTGTATCAGCGAATGTTCTTATAAGTACTTATGGAAACACAGGACTCAATAGTAGATACAGCTTTAGTAGTAGAAAAGACCTTATTATATCGAATGTTACAGCAAAGGATACAGGTGACTACCTGTGTAGTGTTGTTACAACTGCTGGTGACACTGCAGAAGGGTTCTCAATATTAACAGTCTATTGTAAGTAATAACTTAGCATTTTCATGGTATTATTTTTATAAAACTTTAATAAACATGCCTATGTTACATTGATTACCTAGATGTAAATTAATACATATAATGTTATGCAACCACTGTGTCTACACATGAAAAAGTTCATCCTACCATACAGATCGGCTCTTGGTGAACTTATACCCTTTAATAAAAAAAAATTGAAATTACTATACTCTGTAGGCTGCACCAAATTTAAGTTGAAATAATCCAGGAACCAAAAAATGTAGGAAACCTTCAATATTATCAGAATATTTTTCTACTATATTTTCCTGGTTTATAAGAGCAAAGGACATACAAAAAAGACAAATTTACCTAAATAATTAATAGGAGTGATGTTTTGCCCTAACTTACGGATTATCGTACCGAATACTCTGTTAACAAACATAATTAACCCCATTTTGAAACTTTTAAAGCATGTAAATAAAATACTCATAGTGGACGTTTAATATGATCTAATTAAATTTCATTGTAGATTAGTTTAAGTTTTCCTGATCCCCAAAGGTAGACAACTTTTACTCATGTCTGTGTGATAAATTGAACTTCCATTACAGACCTTGATATGCCAACTTATGAACCAAAAGATAAATTCATCATTGAAAATGAAACTGCGACATTCTTGTGCCCTTTGCCTGATGGTGTTCCAACACCTATCACCATCATATGGATCAAAGATGGCGACGTACTTGATGTGTCAGATACTAAGAAGTATCCACAGTCAGATACAATATTAGAGATAAGCGGAGTCAATAAAATGGATGAAGGGAACTACCAGTGTCGAGCAGAGAATGCAGCTTACAGTGGGGATGAAGGAAAGTAGAGTAATAAAGGAACACTGTCATTGTTAATGCCAACTTGTAAGTAATTATCATAATTAAATGATTACAATGCAGTGTTTCATAGAATGAAATTAAATATTATAGATAACCAGACAAACTATCTTTCGTAAAATTTTTCCAACTATTAATGTATTTTGTTAAATATTAATTAATTTTTAAGCATTAATTTCTTTTTCATTAGCTCCATCATCAACATCATAGCCGATAATTTTTTTTTTTTTTTAATTTACGATTATATGCAATCGAATAGAAAACACTGTCTTTTTTGTTTTATAATGAAAATGCTTAATTTTCAATAGTACCATCATCAACATCCTTAACAAGTATTTCAGCCACTGGTAAGTTTTTTTGTTTTGTTAATCCACTTGTTGAAGCTAGTCGTATAGTTAGTCGGTCGTCGCTTAGTTGTTTGGTATTTAAATCATTTGCTCTGTTGGTCTGTTTGTCGATCGACTAATCGAACAATTAAAATATAAGTAACACTTCAGAAGCATGCGTTCCCTATTTTTGAAAACCTATAAATATTAGTTGTGTATGATAATTTCATTAATACTATATATCTTTAGTTGTTTGCATTAATACAATATATCTTTAGTTGTTTGCAAATTTAGAAAATGATTGACTAACACATTTCAGATGTTTGTAATACACTGTTTATTATCACTATTATTTTACCAAAGTACCACAGAAATGTTCAGGTTCAAATACTAGTCTTCTTGTTGGATTGACGTTTCTAAGTTTCTTTTTGGGAGTCCTTTTATCTTCATCTATATCTGTCTATATAAATTCAAAGGTACAGGTGAGATACATACGAGATAGGATAGTTCATTAAATTTCTGTCATTGGATGAATTTCATTTATGATAATGTTGTTTACTTGCTATACAATAAATTACGATGAAGACGACTGGTATTGACGACTATCGTGCTGACGACTAGATTAGAATGATGAACTGTAGGCTCTAAAAAAGGAAAAGAAAAAACTTGTTTGAATGTTTTTTTTATCTACTTAACTGTTTAATTTTATATAATTTACTTTAAAGGTAACCAAAGGAACATCCAGACATTACGAAGAACCGGCGGTAAGAAGGATAAAGGAATACTCGCATATAGGCCTCTAAATCCTCAAAAGCATTTAAAATGTTAAAACAATTAATTTCTCACAGATCTATATTCAAATAATTTATCTACTAGACATCATTCAGAAAAAAATAAACTGGTACATTCACATTGGAGACGTGGGTCCGTGGGGCGCTTCATTGTTATATAGTTCGGGGTAATTGGGAACGAACGGAACACAATGACATAATTATAGTTTTACATGCTACATAGACCTGTGTAAAATATGCGCATGCTCTTTGTGAATAAGGGCTCCATATACTTGGGTCGAATTCTTACCATATAATGTAGAAAATTACTAGTTTATTTTTACGAAAAGCCATCCACAGTTAATAAAAGAACTCCTCAGATCGATGTTTTTTTTGGCATTTTTAACAGACTAAATACCTAAATGATATATAGGCCTATCATTATTATTATTACTTATCTTAAAGGAACTCCAAGCAACGCCCGGAGATAAACAAGTATTGGTAAGGAAAATGTTGCATTCATCAGTAAAGCAAACATTGCTTTACAACATAGCATTATCATAATAATTAAACTGTAAACTCCCTTTATTAAAGAAAATAATGACCAATGGCAAAAAATACATGTATATCTCAAAGCTAAATCAGTGCTAAGCTTTAAAAGCGAATTTAATGTCCAATTCTATAACACTCTTAACTTTACAGGCTTATATGGCATATAAACGTGATTCGAGTGCAGAGGAAAAGACATATGAAGATCTAGAGTGGACTGATGACAACCCAGTTGCTTATATAAACGTTAAAACAAACAAAGAGAATACTTAAAATTACTAATTATATGTAGCACCAAATTAAGTAGACTAGACTGGTTAGTAAACGTAAAAATACAAAGATTATGATGGTCGTCGATAAACTATTGGACTCTATGACGGAAATGTATTTTACAGAAGGAAACGATACACATAATACTGTAGTTATGTAGGCCTAGATTTTAGCTCAGGTAGATGGCGACTGAAACCATTGTATACATACTTATGCTTGCCTAAGAAACATTTTTTTACTCATATGAACTTGACTGAGTAGTGATTATAGCACAGATAATTGTCAATACTTAAAGACATGAATATGATGTATAAATATATGTTGTTTAAAAGAAATCCGAAGATGATTAACGTTTGAATATAAATATTATTATTATTATTATTATTATTATTATTATTATTATTATATTACTACTTTGTAGTGAATATCTTCTAATTTCTAGAATAAAATAAAAATGTTATTTCAAATATAGTTGCTTAAATTATGAAAAAAAGATTCTTAATATCCACAGGTCAGTGTTAATATCACGTGGTTCATAATTATTCAAGTTTAAGTCAAACTTTATTTGGACACTTTACAACTACAAACATCATTTATACAGCATTCAACATTGATTCTCAGATTACCTTATAAAACATATAACCAATGAGTAATATACAATAACCGATAGTGATGTAGCCGTACTTGTCTAAACAATGACATTAGGAACAAATTAGAAACTGCACTTAGAGTCCGACGTTAGCTTGTAAGACTTCACAATTTAAACCTGAAGCCGGCATATAGAAAATATATTTGTAACACTGAATTGAGATCTTGATACACCGATGATTCAGACAACGGTAATATTCTGTGTTTTGACATTTGCTTCGTGTTCATGACGAATCCTCTCAGCTCAGACACTGTTATCATTCAGTTTTTGATTTAATAACCAAAATAGCAATACTGTAATTAATAGAGCCAGGGGTAATTAGAGAAAAAACATAAGTAATAAGTCACTTATTATCAGTAATTATAATTATCATCATTGATAAGACATTTTTATTTTATATTATTTATTTGGAATTCCACAGAAAACTAAAAGCATTTTAAAAACATCATTATGCAAATAAGTCAAGAGAATTTTACTTCAAAAGCATTGGATCAAACAATTATCATACATAGGGGACCTATATCTTTGTTTTAATCATAAGAGCAAACAAACAAATATATTGGTATATTATGCAAATACTTGTTAGAACAATGATTTATGTTACTAGCTCCTTCACGTGGGCGATACCTTACTAGAACAAATTGCCACACAACGATACTACAGATTTTAAAAGCTTCAAAACTGAAATTAAACTTCATTTCAGGTAGGTTTTCAAACTGTCAAACGGGGGTCAGGTCAATAAATCCCTGATGTGATGCTGGAAACTGTCTTTTCAGAGTATTTTATACTCAAATTTATATCCATATCCAGAACCATATACAACTTAAGAACTACAAAAAACAATACAAACTATAATGAAAAAAACATTCAAACGAGAAGCCAAGAGGCGGAGAAAAATACTCTATTATCATCATGACTTAGGCCTAGTCCTTAATAATAGATAACAGGCTGAGTCATCTTCTAGGGACCGGTATATAAAATTCGTTTTCAATTCTCGATGTTTGAAGATTTGCCATAATTTGTTTTAACTTTTGAAAGGTAACTTTTTCTAACTTTTAATAGTGGAATTAAAAATGTTGAATAAGCTACTAATTTAAACACGACGACGGCGTAATATATAATAGAAATTTAGGATTTTTTTTCGTAAAAAGCAAAAATTTGATGAAAAATGTTGAGGCTGACGGATGTTACCGAGGGTCATGTTGTTTTACAAATCGAACTGTTTTGGTTAATTTGTAACGTCACACTAGATTAGAGAACCATGGACAATCACTCTAATTAACTAAAACTCAACATCCATGCAAATTGAAGCATGGAAATTAAATTTATTATATTTATCTATTTTTTTCTGCTAATGACTGACGTTCTTGAACCTTTCCTATCATTCGACTCTATTTCTACCTCTCCTGTTATACTCTTACACTTGTTGTGTCCTTAGTAGGTCGGCTTTACACCAAAAAACCAGAACCTATTGACAGCCTAAGCTACGAGCTTGCTCAACAACAACTAGGGCGGAGGTAGTTTTTCCCAGAGAGCAGGGCAATACCCCCGTCGACAGGAACGGCCAGAGTTTCCCCAGCAGGGTAGTGCAATCTGAGGGTCGTAGGCCCGAGCAGGGGAGGGTTCATGAGAGGGGTGTCTCCCTCCTGAATTAGAAAATGTTTGAATTCTAGGCTACATCGACCAAGATTTAGCTTCACGAGTACCGTACCTTTTAACTTTAGGAAAACTATTGAATAATGAATTTACAAACAGTTTAGAAGTTGTCAGAATCAATCATTTTACCCCAAAGCTGAACTCATTCCAAATAAAAAATGCCATCTTGCTAGAATTTCTCCGATAAAAATCTTATTTTAAATATTATTTTAAAGATTAATTTCAGATAAATTTATTGTGAGAGTGTGTAGGACGCAATTCTGATATTAAAAATCAAAAACATAAATGAGACAAATGAGATAAAAACATCAGAATTTATCTGTCTATCGGTATATCCCTATTTGCCTGAGAAAGAGTGCAAACAGGCGTACTGAGCATGAGCAATAAATCCATAAAGGCGTTGCCATGGAAACTATTCTTTTGACCTCACGTATTCCATCATTTACATACAGTATTAGTCTACTTAGTCCAGGTTTCGAGAATAGCCCTACGAAACAGATAAATCAGGACTAACTCTAGTCTAGGACTAACTAGTCCAGGATTAAAGTTAGTTCTGGACTAACTTAGTCCACTTCCGAGAATACGGGCCCTAGTGTTAATACTTGCTTTTCAAAAGTAGATGCCGTAAATTTTATTGTTTAGTTTTAATTTAATTAGAGCAAGAGATAATTAAAGGGTCACTTATCAGTAATTATTATTATTATTAGAAGCTAAAGAGCCAAGCAAATTGAAGCTCGGAGTTATATTAAAATATTTATTTATTTTATGTTATACCGACTAAGCTTGCGTCACTGCCAGTACAGTATTACAAACAGGCAGCTATGAGCCTGAATGAAAGATTATAAGCAGTAAATTCCCGTTCAGGATAATACGGTATTGCTGACTTTGAAAGATAAAACTGGAATTTAAATGAATGCTGCCACCAAGAGTTTTATCCCAACCACTGAAGCGTTAATAATAACAATAATGTTAAATCAATGCATACATCATACCTGTTAACCAACCAACGAGGAGTTCGCAAATCCGAAAGTAAACAATTACTGTAAGTTATTTTCTTAGTAATTTTGAAAATGATATACCGTAATTAAACAAATTAACTATGTATAAAGTAGTAGGCCTACTTAAAAGTGCACTTACCGGGTTGATTATTATCAATACTTAGGCCCTAAGTGCTGTTAATTCTAAAACCAGGAAACAATGTAAATGTGCTGATATACCAACATCTGAATGTTATTATTGATTTGGGACCGAGTTAATATGTGGCCGAGTTGACATTGGGCCGAGTTGACCTGAGACCGAGTTGTCTCGAATTGTCATCAGAATTTCATAAGCTTACTGCATGTTAATGTTCTTAGAATAGTCATAATGGCAATCAATATCAGTGGCTATATCCTTTCATACAGTTTATTTGTGTTTTTTTTTTAACCCTGGCCTGTAAATTATTCTTCAATGAATGTTTATATCTATTTATCATCATTAAATACATGCTATGTCAAATAGAAATTTGTTATAAAAATGTTCCTATATTTTTGTGTATATCTTGGCTATTCAGGCCTGGTGTTACCATCAATATTGATGAGAGGCGGCTAAAATATTTATTTAATTTATAAGCCATGAAATACTCGCACCTAGGGCTGAAACATAGGGTGAGCCACTTCACAACCTGCCAACAGTGCAAATTAAATTTTTAATTTAAACAATTAATAATAATAATAATAATAATAATAAGGTTCAGCGCATAGAGAAGTTTGATATGCGCTATATAAGTATACAATAATAATAATAATAATAATAATAATAATAATAATAATAATAATAATAATAATATCTTGTTTGTGTTTATACTTTAGTTGAATTGTGTGAGCTGGACATGGGTTGAGCTGGAGTACATCGATCGATTGATTTATTGATTGATTGATTGATTGATTGATTGATTTAATCAAAATAATTATCACAAGAAGTTTAAATAAATTGATTGTCACAATGATAAATGGAACTTTAATATTATAATAAAGAATAATTAAATTAAAGGTCAATGAAGCGTTGCTATTTATATTTTAATTATTGTCATTATGAGTTAGACATTTTGTGTGAATAACTAACCTGGCTTGATGTTTACATTTTCTATGTAGGTGTTAGTGTGTGTATTAGACGATTATGTTTCAAATGAATACAGTTCCTTGTACCACAGTGGTTATCATAATCTTTTTTAATGGTAAGTTTCAAGGGCGGATCAGAAAAATCTGGATAGGAGCAATGTGCTTGCTCTCTCTAGCCACCCTTAATCCGCGTCTGAGTTGATTCCATTACCAGTACTATTAGCCCAATGCCCTACCTACTGGACGTCATCCAGAGAATGAAAAAAAGAAGACTAATTGGTTAAAGTGAGGGTCCGCAGTCCGACGGTTTCCATTGTGACGTTTGAATTCTGTGTAATAATGGTTATTCCAGGAGAGCTCATTCTCATTTCAACCAACCACGCTCTATATAATAAGATGTATAACTGTCCATCACATATTTCATATTTAAGTCCTACGCAAGTCTCTTTTCCATTCTCCTGATGGCGGTAAGAGTAATCAGAATTTTAAGTAATTTCAAAGAAATTAACTAATCTGTATGTCATCCGGAGAATGAAAAAGATAACTTTGTTGAAGTGTCACGTGTTTTTTATTCTCAGAAACTACACTTCCTTTTATGCATTCATAATCATTAATAAATTAGCTGTAAACGGCAGTCAAGCATCAAGTCAACACTTGGAAAACACTGGAAACTCCCTGCAAAGTTTGTGTCCTACTTCAGGGATACTGGACCGAAGTAAACTTTACTTTAAGCTTCGCTTCCAGTCTTTAAACCAAATTAGGCCTAAATAAACCTTCAACAAATAATATCAATATTAATATTATTAACCATTACATAATCTGATTATACATTTGTTACAGTTTTTACCCGTATATGCTATGCTGCTACTGTAACTGTTAATAACATCGTAGATGTAGTTGAAGGTTCAGAAACAAGAATAACGTGCAACATCGGTCGAAGTATTTCAAGTAGTGTAGCTGATCCGTTCATAATATGGAGTAATGTCACCAATGGTGTAACTGATACAATAGCACAATATCAGAGTGGACTTGGATTCGTAATTCCTTTATACAGAGATAGATTCAGTTTGAAAGACACAATACTAGTGCTTGCTAACACCAGCCGAAGCGAAAGTGGCACGTATCAATGTAAAGTGATTATAGTTGATGATATCCCTTCAGACGCATCTGATGACTTCACAATTAATGTTATATGCAAGTAAACCCGTGTCTATGTGTTAACCCTATTTTAATTTTAGGTTGAGGCAATTTTCTCCGAATTAGGCTATTTCAATTGTCAATTTTCACTTAAGAATGAACATGAATTAGTTCATTAGTTATTGTTATTATTTTTAAAAAGCCTACAATGATAAATGTTAATATATTATATAATAATTCCATATGTACGTTCATCTACAAAATTTGCAATTGTAAATTACTAATACATGTTCTCTTGCCAAGAGGATACATAAGCCACAACACAAATATAAAGGATATTCATGTTTATATATATATTTTATTTGGTGTCCTATCAAAGAGGTCATTACTATGTAGTGGCTTTATTATGGCCAATGATGATAATAGTTTATATTTCTCTGTACCAAAACGTACATTTTACCAAATATTAGGTCTATAATTACTTTTTTCTTTACTACAACAATTTCACTTTAGATTTCACTTTAATATTCGTTTAGATTTATACCAGCCCGTTTTAAGTTCCTTCGCTACACCTGTGACTGAAGGTGGCACCGTTGAGATGTCATGTTTTGCAGATGCTAACCCATCACCTACGTACACATTTTTAAGGGATGGTGAGGTACAGCAATCAGGGGGTTCATCACGTGTTTTTTTTATTCTCAGAAACTACACTTCCTTTTATGCATTCATAATTATCATTAATAAATTAGCTGTAAACGGCAGTCAAGCATCAAGTCAACACTTGGAAAACACTGGAAACTCCCTGCAAAGTTTGTTTCCTACTTCATGGATACTGGACCGAAGTAAACTTTAACTTTAAGCTTCGCTTCCAGTCTTTAAACCAAATTAAACCTAAATAAACCTTCAACAAATAATATTAATATTATTAACCATTACATAATCTGATTATAAATTTGTTACAGTTTTTACCTGTATATGCTATGCTGCTACTGTAACTGTTAATAACATCGTAGATGTAGTTGAAGGTTCAGAAACAAGAATAACGTGCAACATCGGTCGAAGTCTTTCAAGTAGTGTAACTGATCCGTTCATAATATGGAGTAATGTCACCAATGGTATAACTGATACAATAGCAGAATATCAGGGTGGACTTGGATTCGTAATTCCTTTATACAGAGATAGATTCAGTTTGGAAGACACAACGCTAGTGCTTGCTAACACCAGCCGAAGCGAAAGTGGCACGTATCAATGTAAAGTGCTTATAGTTGATGATATCCCTTCAGACGCATCTGATGACTTCACACTTAATGTTATATGCAAGTAAACCTGTGTCTATGTGTTAACCCTATTTTAATTTTAGGTTGAGGCAATTTTCTCCGAATTAGGCTATTTCAATTGTCAATTTTCACTTAAGAATGAACATGAATTAGTTCATTAGTTATTGTTATTATTTTTAAAAAGCCTACAATGATAAATGTTAATATATTATATAATAATTCCATATGTACGTTCATCTACAAAATTTGCAATTGTAAATTACTAATACATGTTCTCTTGCCAAGAGGATACATAAGCCACAACACAAATATAAAGGATATTCATGTTTATATATATATTTTATTTGGTGTCCTATCAAAGAGGTCATTACTATGTAGTGGCTTTATTATGGCCAATGATGATAATAGTTTATATTTCTCTGTACCAAAACGTACATTTTACCAAATATTAGGTCTATAATTACTTTTTTCTTTACTACAACAATTTCACTTTAGATTTCACTTTAATATTCGTTTAGATTTATACCAGCCCGTTTTAAGTTCCTTCGCTACACCTGTGACTGAAGGTGGCACCGTTGAGATGTCATGTTTTGCAGATGCTAACCCATCACCTACGTACACATTTTTAAGGGATGGTGAGGTACAGCAATCAGGGGGTTCATCTACATTCACGGTTCAATCAGTGAGTCGTGACAATGATGGCAGTTATGAGTGCAGGGCCAGTAACAATGCCGACACTGAAACAAGTGAAAGTAGAACTCTGGTAATATATTGTAAGTATTCCTAATCAAATTAATCATTACAAAACTTTACAAACTAATAATTGATCAATTAACCATATAATCAATCACTAAATAACTATATAGTACCTAATTGTGTAATAGAGCAGGAGTGGCGCCAGGGGGCCCGGGGAGAGCTCCCCCCGCCCCCTATCGTTGAGAAAAAGCACAATTCGTCGGGGAGAAAAAAGAATTATATGTATTTTCTACATATTAGTAGACTCGGGCAAATCCTGGCGCCAACCCTGTAATAGAGTGCATCTGACGTTATTTGAGTCTGTTCAACCATGAAGCCTCTGCGGTCCAATGATTATGACGCTCGCCTTGACAGCGAGAGGTCGCAGATTCGAATCCTGTCAGAGGCATTATATTACAAAATTTCTTATTTATTTATAGGACAACAGTAGTTGAGAGCTGTGCTACACGATGTATTATGTCCTTTATTCGAACACTGTATTTACCTTTCTTGGATGATTTACATATAATTTAACAGTGTTAACAGTTATCTTGATTAATGTTATATGCTATTATTTGTTTCCGGTCGTACATATTGCGTAATAAAGTGTATCTATGAAAGTATATTTGAAATTGTCCATCTGTGGTCTAATGGTTATGATGCTCGCCTTGTCAGGGAAAGACACTTTCGAAACCCGTCAGAGACATTATAAAACTGAAAAGGAATTGTATGTAAACGTGGTTAACTATTTCGAATCATAAATTCCTATCCATTTTATTTTCTTCTATGATCTCTTCTTTGAGATGCTCCAGAAATCTCACAATCAAAGACGTCAAATATAGAAGTTTCAACTGGAGACACTGTTTCGATTAGATTTAATGTTGTTGCCAAGCCAACTGCTAACTATGTATGGAAAACAACGCCAGCAACAACAGACACTGATAAGGACCCTGAAACATATACATTTGCTGTGTCTGACAACATTGGTGAGACTTATACTGTAACAGTGAATGTAAGCAACAAGGTCGGAGCAGGTCAGTCATCTGTAAGAGTAACAGTTGTTGGTAAGTTGTAACACATGTGGTTACATGATAGTAATTTTGTAGGGGAGACACAATAGCTGAATATAAAAATGATATAACAAATTGTTCCTATCGAGATTTGAAGATTTGAGAGAACAAATAAGTGAACTCAAATGTGGTTTCTTCGTTACGTGTGGTAGGCCTTTGGTGTGACAGCCTGATAGAGCAAATTCAATATCTGCAACTTTAGTGAAAATGCTGGTCATTTTTTTATTACCAATTTTTAAATTACAATTCTGTTAAAAAATGTATATTTTGTTTTCTTTTTAAACATTATAATTGAATATATCAATCTTGCTATTTTTTGTTTTTTTACATGTGAACTTGTTTGTGTTTCATTAACTTTAGCACCAACAACGACATCCGTTGCATTTACTCTCCCAACAGGTGCGTATTTTTGTTTATTTATTATTCGTTTGGCATCTTATTAGGTACCGTATCATTCTATTCAAATAACTGTCAATTTTTTTCTCATTTTCATTGTACTGTAATTATTTACAAAAGTACCACAGAAATATTCAAGTTTAGAAACTGGTCTTGTTGTTGGAATGACGTTTCTTGGTATCTTCATCGGCATCCTTTTGTCTTTATCTGCATTCCTCATCCACGGAAAAATAAGGGCTTCAAAGGCACAGGTGAGCTACAATAATATAAAATATAATGTGTCACAATTCATTTTTTTTCCCCGTCATTTTGGGGGTCTTGGGTAGTCAGCAATTTTTAAAGTTTTAACCTATCCTGTGAAGTGAATAATAGTACCCTTGTTCTCGTTGAGCTAAAGGCCTCTCTCCCTCTCTCGCCTGAATGAATAGTCTCTATGGGCACACCCTGCCGTTTTTGCAGGTTAAGGTCTTGCTAAATTCTTCTATTTCTATTTGAGATCATGGCACTTGCGGTTGACAAAAATATATCAACAAATTATTCATACCTACATTGTCGTGTATAAGGAATAATCTTTATTAATATTATAGGTTGATGAACCTCGATCACTAATGTGGAACTTGTGTTTCAAAAATGGAATGCCTGAGCCATCAACTCCATATATACAAACGTTTTTATTGTTTGTTGATATGGTTCGTTAATCCACTTATAATATTCATTGACGAACTTGTATTCAACCATATAAGGTAGACCTTCAATAGAAGATGAAGATGATTTGTGACAAAACAACTTTGTGAAAGGTTTTTTTGTTTGTTTGATGAATAGGCCTTACATAATATTTTAACTTTTACAATTTATCTTTAAAGGAAAGCAAAGTAACCTCCTGCAATATGGATCAACAGGCGGTAAGCAATGCTGCATTTACAAAAATTGAGCAGAAAAACTGATCGCCGTATTTTAATACAGAATTTAAAAAAAACCTAAAATTTAAGCATCAGTATAGGTGGCTTTAGGCTTACTTATAGTTTTTTTAGCATTTAAATACAAATAAATTGCTCACATATCTTCCACATAGATATTTTATTAATTTAAATTAGGTCAATTTTTTTTTATTAGATGGCAGAAATCTTCAACATTATTATTAGGCCTATTTTTTCAGTAGGCCAGCAGAATATTGAAATTTCACTAGTGGTGCGGTCGATAAAATACAAAGAAGGGCTAAAACATTGCCTAAAATTGGCAATCTACACATTATTTAACTTAGCTTATTGCTATTTTGTACACAAATGTTTCAGCTGATATGTTTATTTATGTCGTTTTTAGCTATCTCTCACAATAGACCTCTATATGTATTTCCAATCGTTCCGTCAAAAATCTTCATCATTGTTATTTACGATTGTTAGTACATTGTTGAACATTACTCAGGTCTAGGAAACAAGCCTTATAATAATATATACTGGCTATTCTTTATGTTGCAGGTATATATGTCGTATGGTGAGCCGAGTGCAGAGAACAAGACGTATGAAGATCTACAGTGGATTGATGATAACCCAGTCGTTTATTAAAATGTAAAACCAAAAAAATAGAATACTTAATTTTTATGTGTATATTTAGCACTGAACGGATCAAGCAGACTGCAATAGACATCCCCACCCTCCATAACACTAATATCAGCATTTTCACGTTTATAAAAAATCTTAAAAAATCATTCACTCATTGATAAAACAATTATTTGCACATATTTTGCACAGTATTATTATTTACAAGCCTCTGGCTTCCTGTAAGTAATATGCCATTTGCGTTGTTTGTTTAACATCTGTATTCAGTGACTGAAAATGAAATGAAATAAAGATACTCTTAAACAGATAATAGACACGACAAGACAACCATAATGATTATCATCGATAAAATACGGGATACTATTATGAAAATCATAACGCTTCGTGGGAATTTCAGGAGATACCTTTCCAAAGGAAGCAATGCGTATGATATCTGGAGGTCAAGCACACAAAAATTTAAAGCATTATAGGCCTACTCATATGCAGGGATCAACAACAATTACTAGCAACATATACAATATGAATGTTGTAATGTACAACAGAAATTATATTTGAAGTTAACTGTGAAGTTGGGGTCACACTCCGTCTGCCGACGGTCGGCTGATACCGGAAGACGAATTTATCCCCGTTCTGTGTGAGGGAGAAATGATACGTATTTCACCGTCCTCCCAGCATCGAGTCGGCCAACAATCGAATTGTTTGTGTGTGTGTGGCTTAAAAGAACCGCCAGAATTTAGCAATATTTCACCTTTTAGTATTTTGCATTAGTCCTTTGTAATGAATTTATATTTAATTTGTTAAAAAATACAAAACCTAGGTTTTTAACATATGAAAGAATATGATTGTTACTGTTCATTTTACGTACGTTTCACTATTACATGTTAGCAGTGGTGGTGCTAACCCCCTCCCCCACCCCCGTCGAGGAGAGCTAGCCACCCCGTCGGGGAGAAAGAGCACAATTCGTCGGGGAGAACAAAAAATTATATTGTATTTTTTACATATTAGTAGACTCTAAAATCGATTAAATAAGCCTTTAAATCCCCTAAAATTGTCACAATTTTCGCCCACAGGACCACTTTCGGTCTGTCTCTTATACACATCTACATCCGTTGTATTTACTCTCTCTACAGGTGCGTATTTTTGTTTATTTATTATTCGTTTGGCATCTTATTAGGTACCGTATCATTCTATTAGCATGGAGCGTCGTAAAGACATCATTCATTGAAATACAGTATTTAACATTGATTGTTCTGAGAATATAGACTCACTAACAATCAACAATTTAACCTGTGAGAATAATACATTAACCGATAATGATAAGATATGTAACCGTAATTGTGTAAACAATGACAGGAAAACAGAATACATTAGTACATTAGTTTTTGTAACGTGTTAGATCACACAATATACACTTGATGGAGACATGACAGACATTGGAAGCTCCTGTATTAACAATACAATAATAGGCCTAATTATAAAACTATGCCAATATTAAAAAAAAAAATGTATTGTAATAATAAACTGCGGCCTGGTTTTATATGTGTCTTTAATGTATTATTTTTATAGTATATTTTATATTTTATATGTAGAGCAGCTGCTCCTCATTCGTTGTAATAAAATATATGCCCAAAGTGTTCATGACGATGTTATATATTTGTATATTGTATTTATATTTTGAACTTAATTAAATCATATTAAAACTTAAACGTTTCTCTGTTAATGACTTAATTCATAACACTTAATATAATAATTACATAAAAAAAAATCTAATAATTCTAATGAATAGCAATTACTTACATGGCACATTCTACGAGATTGCTAATATAAACTTTTCTTTAGCTTTACATAAATCTCGACACACTGATTCACACTAAGAAAAGATAGTTTGTGTCTCCAAACTCCTTATGTTCAATAAGTTAAGTTCCTTATGAAAGAGTTGATACACTTCATCTTTCAGTTTTTGATTTAATATAGTGAAAGAAATAATTAAAGGGTCACTTAAAAGTAATTATTTAGAACCATTGATAAGAAAGAAACTGAAGATGAAACATATTTAAAACATGGAGATATATTAGGCCTATTTATTTCATTCTTTTCGCCATGACTGAAGCTTTCGTCACTGCCAGTTCTGTTCAAGAATATTGCTGGCGCGAAAGATGAATGCTGCCACCAAGAGTTCCATTGCAATGCCCGAAGGGGTTAATAAATTATTAATAAATCAAGGCATCCATCATAGCTGTTGAGCAGCCAACGAGAAGTTCGCAAATACAAAACCAAACAACTGTAAGTTTGTGTTATTTTCTTCGTCATTTGAAGATGACGTACCGTAATTAAACAAGTTAACTATGTATGTAGTAGGCCTACAATTTCTGTGCACGTACCGGTACCGGGTTAATTATTATCAATACAATTATAAATTGCTGTTAAATTTAAAGCCAGGAAACGATGTACATTTGCTGATCTACCGACATCTTTGGTCCGAGTTGAACCGAATTTTTTATCATTGTATCTAATAAGCTTACTGTAAATAATATATTAAATTCAAAAGCCAAAAAGTTTTAAGAATGGCCATCAATATCGTAATATCATACGATACATTTAGAAACATTTTCTCTAACTCTATGCCTGTAAATTATTTTTCAATGAATATTTTTATCTTAATATTTATCCTTATACAATAAATGCTAAGTCAAATAGTAAATATGTTATCTAAACAATTCAGTCTGTTTTGTGTTTATGTTTTAGTTGAATTATGTGCGAGCCGGTACATGAAGGAGCTTGAGTACGTTGATCGATCGATTGATTGATTGATTTATTTATTCAAAATAATATATAATCACAAGAAGCGTGGACAAATTGATTATCACTATGACACCATTATAAAACGTTATAAAATGTTAAAATAAAGAAAAAAAGAAATAAATACCTTTCGGCGGTCCATACTGCTAGGGTATTTATTTATGTTTTAATTATTGTCATTATGAGTTTTTTTAATATTTTTCATTAGGTTTCATTATCTGTAATGTGTAATTGGATTATCTGACTTGATGTCTACATTAATACATAGGTGTTCGTGTATAGGTCTATTTATACCGATGATCATGTTTCAAAGTAATGCAGTTTCCTGTACAGTGGGTATCGTCATTTTTAATGGTAAGTTTCAGGGGCCAACCATACTTCCTTTTCACATGTTTAATTAAGATCAAATTAGCTGTAAATACAGTCACAATACTTTTTTTAAAGTCAGCATTTGAACAAAACTGGAAAAATCACCTTGCAAAGTTTGTACCCTACTTCAGAGATATTGGTACTGCAGAATTGACAAGAGCTCTACACTAAAGTAAACCTAATTATTTAAATTAGACACCCTACAACCTACAACAAGTAAAGTTTCAATATCTTTAACCATTAAATAATCTTATATATTTGTTTCAGTGTTTATCTGCACATGCTATGCTGTGACTGTAACTGTTGATGACATTGGAGATGTAGTTGAAGGCTCTGAAACCAGAATAACATGCAATTTCGTGCGAAGTAATTCAAGTAGTGTACTTATTCCTTTCGTAACCTGGAATAATGTCACAAATGGAGTAAATGAAATAATAGCACAATATCAGGGTGGAGTTGGATATGTACAGCCTTCATACAGAGGTAAATTCACTGTTGAAAGAGACACAACATTAGTAATTGCTGACACTCTCAGGAATGATAGCGGCACGTTTCAATGTATTGTGGTTATTTTTGATGATCCACCTATACGTGCATCTGATGACGTTATATTGAGTGTTATATGTGAGTAAAACTATATTTTGTGTTAATAATTTTGGCCATTTATATGTTATTTTCATTTTAAATCTTATATGCCTACTGTATAGATTTTGTAAGCGAATCTAAGCTAAAGCATCTTGTGCTCTATAAAAATTCATTTATGAATGATCATCATCATTATCAACATCTCAGCATGATAATGATGATGATCACCATCATCTTCATCATCATCATGATCATCATCGTGATCATCATCTGTCTCTTATACACATCTAGATGTGTATAAGAGACAGGTATTTATTATTATTATTATTATTATTATTGTTATTATTATTATTATTATTATTTTAGATTTATACCCGCCTGAATTAAGTTCCTTTACTACACCTGTGACTGAAGGTGATACCATGGAGATGTCATGTTCAGCAGATGCTAATCCGCCACCTACGTACACATATTTAAAGGATGGTGAAGTACAACAATCAGGGGATTCATCTATATTCACATTTCAATCAGTGAGTCGCGACAATGACGGCAGTTATGAGTGCAGGGCAAGTAACAATGTTAGCACTGAAACAAGCGAAAGTAGAACGCTGGTGGTATATTGTAAGTAGTTCTTATCAAGGTAACAGGGGTGGTGCCAGGATTTGCAACTGAGGGGTTTTAGAGGCTTATTTAATCTATTTTATAGTCTACTAATATGTAGAAAATACATATTTTTCTTCCCGACAAATTAAGGTTTTTCTACACGGCGGGTGGGAGGGGGTGGCGGAGGTAATCATTACAGAATTGTATAACTTTACTAGTTAATTTATCAATCAACCATACTAATCATTCACTTAATAATGTATAAATATAAAAGATAATAATATAGTGCTAAAATATTATAAGAACATGAATTTTTAAATCGTTAATCGTATCATAGTTTATCAACAAAAGTTAAATATTAATTGTATGAAAGAGGTCCCTAGTGGGAATCGAACCTCGTTATCTCGACGAGCGTCATACCGTAGATACCACATAAGTCCGTACGATATTATTACGGATCTAAGACCACTATAGTCTCTCTCGCTTCAGACAACGTGATGATTCACACATAGTGGTGCGAGCTTTGTATAATATGTTGAATTGAAAAGAAATTAATTCAAATTCAAAAAGCGAATTTTCTGTTATGATCTCTTCTTTAAGATGCTCCTGAAATCCCACCTTCAAATATGGAAGTTTTACCTGGAGACAATGTTACGATTAGATTTCATGTTGTTGCCAGCCCAACTGCTAACTATGTATGGACAACAACGCCAGCAACAACAGACATTGATAACGACCCAGAAACATACACATTTACTGTGTCCGACAACATTGGTCAGACTTATATTGCAACACTTAACGTAAGTAATGAGGTCGGAGCAAGTCAGTCGTCAGTAAAGTTAACAGTTGTTGGTAAGTTTAACTCGTATGATCACATGATTACATTTTTTTAGGAGAAGCACCTCCACTATAAAGACGATGATAACAAATTTCTCTCTTATTTAGCATTAGTACCAACATCGACATCTGTAGCATTTACTTGTGCCACAGGTACGTAATTCCTTTACATGTTTTTATTTGGTGCTTTCATTAAGTATATCATTCAATTCCAATAAATGCCAAACTGGTCTTGTTTTTTGTTTTCATTATCAATACTATTATTTACCAAAGCATTGCCGAAATGTTCAAGCCTAGATACGAGTCTTGTTGTTGGAATGATGGTTCTAGTTTTTTTCATCGGAATCCTTTTGTCTTCATCTGCATTTGTCCTTCACGGAAAGATAGTGAATTCAAAGGCACAGGTGAGCTACATGAATATGGTATATAATGTCTATTATGACATATTATTTTTTTTTGTCATTTTGATTATAAAAGTTTTAACATGACCTGTGAAGTAGTGTTCCTGCTCTAAATGGGCTGAAGGTCTCTCTTACCCCCTATGGGCACACCTTGCAGTTTTACGGGTTAGGGTCTGAATTTGAGTTCATTGCACTTGCGGTTGAGAACAAATTATCGATATGTCATTGATACCTACATCCACATCAACATTATAGGTTGATGAACCTCGACCACTAACGTAACAGTTTGTGTTTTAGAAATTGGATATCGTGCCACCAACTACATTTATACAAACCTTTTTTTATTGTTATTTTTTAATGATTTGCACTCATTATATTAGTTGACCAACTATTATTCAACAATATGAAATAGGCTTTTGATAAAATACGAAGATGATTTGTGACTAGTGGCGTCGAGAGGGGGCAGGGGGTCGCTTCCCCAGGGCCCGGGTCTACTGGGGGGCCCGGACCAAGATGAAAAATTGTCGGGATAAGAACGAAATATCCATAGGGCCCGAGCCCAATCCAGGATGAAAACTTTTGTTGTCAGATTTATGAGGAGACTTAATTTGGGGAGCGGCCGAGTGGGGGTCCAAGTGAAGGGGGCCCCATGTGAGGTGTTGCCCCGGGGCCCTTACTGGCTCTCGACGCCACTGTTTGTGACAAAACAATTAAATGAAAGTTTTTGTTTTGTTTTATGAATAACAATATTTTGGCTTCTACAATTTATCTTTAAAGGAAACCGAAACAACCTCTAAAAACGTGAAACCACCGGCGGTAAGCAATGCTGCATTTACAATAGTTTTTGTAGAAAAACAAAATGCTTTTATGGCATTTAGGCTGGAAACTGAGCACTATTTTACAAAAATTCAAATTTTTAACCAACAGTGACGCATTACTTATAGGTGACATTACTTAAATATTTTTGGCTTTTAAATATAAATAGGTCTACATTTCTCACATATCTTTCACACACTATTTTAATAATTGATAATGAAATTAGGCGATATTTTTCATATCATTGGTGGGCTTATTGTGCGTCGGTAGATAAAATACAAGGTAGGCCTAAAACATGGCTTAAAAATATTGATAATACAGTAACAACATCAATTAGGCATATACATTATTCATCTTAGTGTTTAAAAAATTCTTTTTTTTCTTTTAATCAAATTAATTGCTTTAGGCCTACCGGTAACCCACCTCACCGTACATATATTTGTATTTTTTCCCCTTCATATCCAACAGCAAGTACACCCGCCACTCGTTAAAAATCTATAAAAAAAATAAAAGTGGGTGAAAAATATTTATGACTGTTATTTACTGTCCATTGTTATTAAGCGTCGCTCTTCTATGTTGCAGGCATATTTGTCGTATAGAGTTGAGCCGACTGCAGAGAACAAGACATATGCAGATCTACAGTGGATTAATGACAACCCAGTTGTTTATGTAAATGTAGAACCAAAAAAAGAGTATACTTAGAATTAATTATTTTTGTTTAGCACTGAACGGATCAAATAATCTATAATAGACGAGTTAGTCACATAATAGTCACAACAAGAGAACCATTGTCATCGATGAAATACGGGATACTATGTGGAAATTATAGGCCTATCACTTCGTGGGAAATACCGAAGATCAGTATCCAAAGGAAGCAATGTGTATAATATTCCGAGGTCAGGTATATGACGATCTAAAGCATTATAGGCCTACTCATTTTTTTTTTAAAAGAAAGTTTGTGCTTGCATCTGCTTTTTTCACATTCTTGGTGAGTTTCTCAAACAGTCTAAGGCCTGCTTATCAATCTTTTTTAGGTGGCGACCCACTTTTAGAATGCTCATTTTGTTGCCACCCAAAACATATTGTCATGTTATCTGTTGACTACCTAGGCCCACAACCTCGACTCAATCGAACGCAAAGTAGCGGTGAAAAATTGTTTCGATATTTATTTTAGTTAACAAAGTACACAAGACTTTTGATATTGTGTTGCTGAATGTTCAATTTCATAATATGGCGGAATGACTGATCCAGAGGTGTGAAATACAGGGCCCCGGAAAGTACTTTCACATCAGAAATATGGTATGAATACCACCTCAGCCCCACCATGACTAGGGGTGAGGTAAGATAATTTATGATTAAGGCACCTCTAGATGGCCGGAAATGACACTCTAAATTTAAATTTTAATATAATTTCTTTATAATAAAAAAAAAATTAGGTGGGAGGGTGACGGCTAGGTACCTATCGAACCCGCCATTGTGGAGAATATTTGTTACACTCATAATGTTGAAATGTTTAAAGCAATGACGATTTTTTTGACTAGTGTAGAGTCGACCAGGGCGATGCTGACTAGGCAAATATAAATTTTAAAAAAAGGATTGTACGTCTCTACTCCTAAAAATGCTCAAACGAATTGAAAAAGCAAAGAAGCAACTAATCATTTTAAACATTATATTTATTAACTGGTACGTCTTATTATTGTGAGGTATATTCCTGCTTAATTTCAATTATCTTCCTTGGAGAGATTGGCGACAGTGCAATCTTGAGAGTTGATTCTAGGTTTTGAGTTGAAAATAATTTCTAGCTTTCGTCTTCGTCGATACTACACCTGACTGGGAGTCCTTTGTGGGACTGGCCGCTATGCAGCAGTGTTTTCCACTATGTTTTCGAGATGACTATCTATCTATAAAATCGATTAAATAAACCCATAAATTGTCATATTTTTCGGGGGCCACCCCAGCATATTTTCCCCCTAAAATTTTACCTTGCCACGCCCCCCCCCCGCCCCCAGATTTCAGACGCTGGCGCCGCCACTGGTTAATAAACAGGGGTAAGGTATAATATAAAGACGGATTTCAAAGCAACAAAAATACTTTTAATAGCATCAGACACCTTCAATGTCAAAAAACAAATGAAGTATCGTGAGGTTTATGATGATATTTTTGCTTATAGCCTAGGCACGTTAAATTTAATTTTAAATAGGTACCGTATGTAAATGCATACTAGCTTCGTAATTTGTTTGTGTGCACGTTAAAGTTACCTTATTATAATATTTTATTTTGTCTTCATATTACTTTCTGTTCTAAAGTTTGGTTGCATTGCACATCACTTTAGACTGACCAGTACAGTCACAAACCGACTAGACTGTTTGAAAAACTCAGCAAGAATGTGACCTAGACATTAAAAAAAAAAACATATGACGCCGACTGTCGGTTGATAACGAAAGGCGAATCCATCCCCACATGTGTGAACGCAAAACAATACGTATTTGCGGTCCTCTTGGTATCGCGTCAGCCAAAAATAAAATTATGTGTGCCTGGTTCAGTGGTGGCGCCATAGGGAGGGCGGGGGCGGTGCTGAGGGGGTATAGCCCCCACTCGTTGCTTGGAAGACATCTTGACCGGGGAAACAACCTCCTGGTTTATAGATTTTAGGCAGAATTTCGAAAATTTAGATCTTTACTTTGAATTATAAGCTTGTACTGAGACGTTGTGTTTTCTTAATTTATCGTAGCATAATGTCACAAATTAGTTGCATCACAATTTACAGTAAGACATTATTCTTATTCGTAATTATGTTGTTAATAATTCACAATCACATGAATTATGAAAAACCAGGATTTCGCCATGATGGGAGGGTAGTATTGTAATGTAATACGGGTTTTTTTTTAATAATATAAAATAGAAAACGGATTTGAAAATAAGTTAGTTGGTTACATTGCATGCACTTTGTTTCTCGTTGTCTTATTGAAAACGTTTCGGTTTTGGATAATTTCGACATTAAAAAAATACATAAAGTCATATTAAGGTAGCTTGATGCCTATCAAATAACTAATAAAAAAAAAGCTCCCAGGCCCCCAGCCAAGCGAGGCTCACTTCAGTCGCCTAGGCCCCCTTCCCCCACCCGGTTAAGGCTTTCATTCCCCTCCTCCTTGTCGGGCAGATCCTGGCGCAATCACTGGCCTGGTTTAAAGGTATATTCGAAATATAACCGTTATTTCACCTTTCAGTAATTATATTTAATTTTATTTAAGAAAAATAATCTCAATTTGATGAAAAATATGATTGTTAATGTCCATATCGCGTGTTTCATTTATTATTACATGTTTAAACTTTATTCATTAATTAAAGAAAGTAAGATTGATTACATGGAGAAACGTATACAATATTTAATATTCATTGTTCTCAGAATACAGAAACAGTTATACATTACAATCAACGATTTAACGAATAATACAATAGCCGAAATTGGTAAGAACTGTACTTGTTTAAAAAATAACGTGAGAAATGTTTCCGACATTCATGTTAATTTGGGTGCTGTAATGTGTGAGAT